TGTAAAATATTCTTTTCAATAAATGAAATAATATTGTTCAGAGTTTACTGCTGTGCCTGAGTTAACTTTCTGAATTTAGAGGATCAGGTAAAGAAAGCTGTTACCAGATCCACAAAATTCAGATTTAGGTCATTGCCCATAACATGTGCCAGCACCTAAAGGGTTCTAGGCCTTCTGTTTGATACTTAAGGATCCAGAGTTCCTGCCCTCATGACACTTACAAATGTCTTGAAAAAAGCAAACTTTTTATGTACAAAACCTACAGACTATCAAACAGAGCAATCGAGTAACCAAAAGAATAGAGGGAAACTAAGAAATAAAGTGGTCAGTTCCTAAGGGAGGGTCAACAGAGCCTGGTTCCTTAATGATGATTAAGCACATTCAAGGTTGTATCCCTTCAAATAGTTGCTGCTTCAGTAGGAAGGAATCAAAAGAAACATTTTTGAATGAGATAAAAAGCAGAAGAACAAACCCCATAGTCAGTTCAACTCCTAGTATTGGATTCAGTGAGGTTCAGTAGGTTTCTGTACTCAAGACGAATGTCTGGTCGGAGAGAGAAAGCAGGAACTGGAAGTCCTTAAGGCAAACTAAATTCAAGTTTTTATATAGGTACAAGCAAAGGGCATGGATACATAGGGAAAGGAACAATGAACATGAGACAGGGAGAAATGGGAATCAGTGAAGGTTTTGCAGAGGAGATGGCATTTGAGTGAAGATTTGCAGGATTTGTATTTCAGCAGATAGAGGAGGAAAGAGACTGGGAGGGCCATCTAGCCAAGGTTCAGAGGCATGAAAATACATGGGGTATGGGGAATGCAAAGGGAGGTGAGGTTCTAAAGATAAATTATGTTGAGATGTGGATAGGATCACACACATGAGGCACCCAGGGTGCAAAATTTAAGGAGGCACTCATTCTCACAGTTGGGCAAGTGCAGGGTTGGCAAGGGGCTATGGCCATTAAGCAGAGGATTGATTGCAAAATCTCCCATATGGAGGACTTCCACCTCTGGAAAGATGTACTTTTCATTATTCTTTCTGCTAAATGTAACTAAAAACTCTGGACATTACATATGAAACAAACAGAAGACTTGGACAGATAGAGAGAAGAAGCCAGACTAGCTAGAGACCTTGGGATCCAAGGAATGATATGGTGGTGAGTTCCCTGGGTTTTGGTTTTGCCTCATATTCCTAGACTTGGAGCTGAAGAAGCTGGCAACCTGGAAATAGCAATGGGTTCAGATAAAAAAGCCTCAACAAAAGCCAAAGGACCAGGAAATGGGCAACCTAGCAAGACAGAAAACTTTTAGACAACAATTTTTGCTTTCCAGCCAAACACCACAGAAAAAAACTGTGGCCCTACTCCAACTCCGGCAGCAAAGGCTGAGTTGAGAGCCTTAGACTTCCACTCTCACCAGGGTGTAGAGGTGTCCCAAACCATCTCTCCATGCCAGGGTGGTAACAGAGAAGGCTGAATAGAGCTGACTCCCCAGGGTGAAAATCCAGATTCCCCAACAGGTCTCCTGTGGTGTCATTGGAGACCCCTTGGGGAGTCTGGACTTTGACTCTGACCCAGTGGTAATGAAGCACCCTGCTACTTAACTGCTGGGGTGGCATCAAAGGAGGCCTGGTGGAAATTCATGACTTCCATCATCTCCCAGTAGTAACAAGGCCACCTCCACTGCAGTGTCAGTAGAGACCAAAGAACAAGGGGATTTTTCTGCAATATTCACCATGAGAACATGGTTGTGCTCCTGGAGGTAAAACCCATGAAAGTCTCCCCCCCACCCAAAACAAAAAGAGTAGGTCCCCAGGAGTTTTTAACTCTCAAGCTAATCCTCATTCAGCCTCCAGCAGGACATCAATTACTGTTTAAGTGTTCCTAACAGTTGCTGGCTCCAGCAGTAGCTTCTGCTCCTGGTAAGCTGGTACTCTCTGTATTCACCTGTCTCTCCAGTTTTGGGGGTGGCTGCCCTGTGACTTCAATTGTCTAATTGACTTAAGAAGACTTGTTGATTTTCAGTTTGTTCAGCTTTATTCTTGTTGTAAGGATGGAGTGACAACTCCCAAGCTCTTCACATGTTGGAACGGAAACTGAAGTCTTGTGTTCATTTTTATCTACTCTTTTTAAAATTCTGTTCCTTAGTCTGGGTAATGTCAAATGATCTATCATCAATTTCACTCATTATTTATTCTGCCTGTTCAATATGTTAGGCCCCTGTAGTGAAATTTTCATTTCAGTTATTGTGCTTTCCAACTTCATAATTTCTATTTTTTGTCCTTTTTAAAAATAATTTTTATCTTTACTGGTATTTCATAATGATGAGACATTATTATAATACTGTTCTTAGATCTTTAGAAATGATTTCCTTTGAATATATTTAAAATAGCTGATATAAAGTCTTTGTCTATTAGGGTCAATGTAGGAAAAGTTTTTGTTGATTGCTTCCCTCTTCCCTTTTATGAGCCACACTTTATTTCCCTACATGTCTTATACTCTTTTTTAAAAACTGAATATTTTAAATAATATAAGATGGAATCTCTGGAAATCTGATTCTCCCCTCTCCCCAGGGATTGCTGTTGTTGCTCCTTGTTAGAGTTGTATAGATGTTTGTATGTTTAGTGACTTTTCTCAGCTAATTCTGTTAAGTCTGTGTTTTTTGTCATGTATGGACATTGAGGTATTTGTTGATTAGCTTAGTGGTCAGATAATGATTTGACAAAGATGTCCTTAAATGCCTGGAGCCAATAAATCTATCTTTGCTGAGGAGCTCTGTGTGCATGTTGGGGCATGCCTTTAATGCTCAGCTAAGCAGTTGAAAACTCTGCCTTAGCCTTCAGTTCCTGTTTGGTAAGAGCCTCAAGGTCAGCCAGAGGTGAGACCCTAGGGCCACCTCACGTCTTTCCTGAGCATACTTGTAGCCCTGGGCATGTACACAGCCTTGTTCATGTGCATGGCCTTCTAGACTCCCAGGAATCAGAGCTTTTCAAAACCCCTATGGTCATCTCATTCCCCAGCTTTTCCTTTAAGCTTTTTGGCTAGTCTATCATTTGCCCCAAGTATTATCTACTACCTCAGGTAGCCAGAGAGTGAAAACAATTCTTTGTGATAGGTTTTGTCAAAGCCCCTTGGAGAGAAGGATTGTTGCAGGGGGTGACCTCCAAGTCATGTTACATACAGACAGCCTTGCAAGTGATGTCTTCTAGTAACCAGCAGGCAGGTCAAATAATGACAGTTCTTTGGGAATGAGGCTTTGAAAGAGCTCCACCTCTGTTTTCCTTTGGTGGCTGCATTGAAATGTGGACTGTTATTTTCAAGGCTACCATGGAGCTAAAGAGTGAGTGATAGGACAGTGCCACAGGGCTTGCTGTTCATGCTGGTTCAGTTGTTTCTCTTGAATAAATGCTTTCTGCAATACTTGCAAGCCTTTATTTTCCAGAGTTCTGAAAAAGTTTATTCTGAAAAATTTTTGCTAGATTTTTTATTGCTTTTATGGAGAACAGAATTTTTGTAGGTTCGTATGCTACCATTTTTGCTGACATCTCTCCTGCTGTTCTTGGCCTTACCCAGGTTTTGTCCAAAGCAACATGGAATAACCCATTGTAGTTAAAATAATTCCCTTATTTAATTTAGCTGGCTTTGCTGGGTAGTAGTACCTTGAAATCAGAGAAACCTGAGTAGAACAGGTATCCTATTCAAATTACTTTTTTGAATCTTTTTGTCTTAACCAAAAAGTATGATATGACATCAGTGAACCTATATTCAGGTTTAACAGTGAGTCCTGTTAAATGGCTACATGTTATTTCATTGTGTGGCTAAAACATAAAATTTAACCTGTCTTCTATAATTGAACTTGTAGATATGCAAGTATTTTTAGACATTAGCCTCCCCACATTAATGTCCTTTTATTTTATTGAAATCCCAAATTTGCTTTTGAGTAATAGTTACATCTTAAGTTTCTCTGATGGAAACAAAACTTGGGAGACAGAATGACATGATTTAAGATAGTATTTGGGCATTTCTATTTCCATTGGTGCTGAAATATATCTGAAAATGGAATGGAATTCAGAACTCCGTGAAAGATAGCTGGTATCCAGAGAGTTGATGTCACACAGCCTGTGTCCTGGCTGGCATAGATGTTGCAGCTGGACAGTGGCTGTCCATTCTGCTAGCTCTGGTGGAAGACTGTGCTGCTGAAAGAGAGATCTTCAACTTTGGATCTTCATAATTAGAATTTTCTTTCTCAGAGTAAAGGGTTGAGAAATTCCTGATAAGATGTTCTTTTCCCAAAAGTTTATTTTAATTGTAATTTTTTTTTTACTGTTGGCTTTCATCCAGCCTTGAAGAGTTAGAAGTTAGTAAGTATGCCTTGGGGCTCACTTTTTCCAAGTTTCAGAGAGTTAGATTTAACAAATTGCTTAATCCAAATTGGATTTCCTGGAAGGATTTAGGAGGAAAAATGGCAGTTGTCAGTGGAAGAATTGAAAACTTTTTTTTCCCTAAAACACACATCCTTTACAAAATGGATTTGCATATTCTCAGTATTGTTGAGCAATAACATTTCGAAAAAGTCATTCCCATAGGATATCTTTGAGCCTGATGTACAGCAAGGGGTCATTTCTGACACAGAGGTCAGGAGGCCCACGAGTTTGGGAGAAAAACCATCAGCTCCAGTGAGGGTCTGTTTATTATTTACAGCTGTACATTATTGCCTGTGAAAGGTAAGATTCTTCCCAGTGTCTGTCCTTCTAATATCCTTCTCTCTGGATTTTGCATTTCAGTTCCTTTCATCGACAAATAAACCTTTCACCCCATCACTGGGCCAACTTAGGATTCTATGCCTCCCTGGGAAGACCGTTTCTGTTGTACATGCAAAAAGATTTCTGGTTTGGGTTTGTTGTTCTTCCACTGAAGGAAGCATGTTAGGCTTGTTAAGTGGCTGTGTGGGGAGGGAAGCCACATTCACTGTTTGCCTGTACTTCTCTGCCTAGGTAAATCTAAGTCTTTTGACATCCAGACGGCAATTATGCTCATCATTGGTGGCAGTATCCTGGTGGCCGTGCTCGTACTGATATGTACTATCGTCTGTCTTTACTTCAAAGTATCCAAGGCATTCAAGTGAGTCACATGGGTAGGAGTGAACAGCATCCACTTCAGTGGGATATCTGGGGCCCTCTGCTTGAGCAGGGTCATTCCTTGCTGCTGCGGCCACATCCTGGGTGAGGTCAGGAGCAACAGACAGGTTTGAAAAGGCAAAGGCAGGTTGATGTAGACCTTTTTCCTCTGGCTTGAGCTTGTGAGCTCATATGTAGAAAGTTTTCAGCCTGGGGGCTCTGTGTGCTAGCACTGCTTTGCTGTCACTTGACCTTACAGAGTTTATATCAGGCATTTAACTCAGCACCTTGGCTGAGCCTCCCTGTATCTGGGTACTATAGAATGCAGAGCATGCTGCATGAATAAGCCTTGTACTTGTGCAGAGGACAGTCTAGATTGGTCTCCTTTTGCCTGAGTTAGAAGGTCTCAGGGTGATCCCTCATTCATTGCTGGTGTCCATAGGGACAGTGAGGTGGGCCTATAGTATAGGACTCTGGGACAGCTGACTAAGGAGTGTAGGTCAGATGAGATGATCAAATGTGGGAGGGGTTGGTTGTCAGCAGCAGTTGTTTCCCCATTCTAGGGAGTTAGATGGCAAATCTAACTCCCAGAGCCCAGGGTACAGCCAACTGTAGCACTTTTCCCATCATTCCTGCATCTCAAGGGCCTGCAGTGACCAGCTAGGTGATCCCTGCTTGCCGTTCACTCTACTTTACTTTTGTAACCTCATTTTACAATTAGAGCATTCGTAGGACAGGAAGGGATTAGAGAGGAACTTGGGACAGGGGCAGAGAACTTTAATCTAGGGCTGGTGTCATATGTTTCATTGGCTATATCACTATCTCAGATACCCCTGACAAGTATAATAAACAATTAGAAAAATTCTAAGCCCATGCTTTGTGTATGTCTTTTCTTAAGAGCTGCTGAGAAACCTGATGCTGTGGCTGTAAATAATAATCCATGTGAGGTCATGCAGGACGAGGTTTCCTTGGCCAAAGTTACCCAGTGCAAAGCCATCCCCACTGAGTCTTGCCGTGCCCTCCAGTGCTGTGATGAATGTAGAATGTATGCAGATTTTGATTCCCTGCTGTCTTGCTTTTGTGACATACATGACGGACTCTTAGGAATGGGGGCACAAAAATCTTTATTAGCAATATTTCATACATACATACTTAGGAATGGGGGCACAAAAATCTTTATTAGCAATATTTCTTTATTAGTAGAATGTTTTATTATTCAAGTCAAATTCTAGAGTGTTTACATTATATAATGCACCATGTTTTATGTACTTTTGAATAAATGTGTAACATTGAAAATAATTTTCTCTGCCTCTGGTTTTTTTGTTGTTGTTAGTTAAAATATCCCTCATTTAAATATATGTGTTACCCACTGTGGGACTTGGGGCAACTAGCTTGTGATATGAATTGCAATAGGAGAAGGAGACTTAGAGTAGAAAGTAAAAACATCCAGCACATCTCCAGCCCCAGAAGGAAAATGTCCATTGATCTTATGGCATTTCCAACTTCATCCCAAGCTAAACTTGCCAAGCTGTGGCAGTTCATTCAGCTCTTCTTCCGAGGGCTTCCTTCACTTTCATCCAGGTCCTCCATGCAGACAATTGTGTTATATTGTCCTGAGGGGACTCCATTCATCCAGAGACAGTGAGAAGAGCCAGGCGGGACATCTGTGGATTAAAGTTGTCTGACCTGTGTAAAGATGGGGTTAAGCTCAGTCGCCTCAAAAGGACATTTAGGAAACCTGAGATTCCTCCTGCTGCCATCCCCCAAATCTTCAGAAGCAGGATGACTCCTTCTTGGATCACATTCACACTGATTTGTGCTGATTCAGCTGTTGATGTCTTCAAGGGTAACAGCAACCTCCAGTCGAAGGCAGAAGGCCAGACTCGCTTGACCACAGAGACAGCAATAGAACATGTCCCTCGCCCCTGCTGCCCACCAGCTCCCTTCTGTTCGAGCTCCTGCCGCTGAGCCACCTGGAACCCCTTTCTAAGCACAGACTCCGCATGTGTAACCATGTTTGTACTTATCAGCAAAACTCTTGCTTGTGAGCATCACGTATATACTTAATATAAGGAATTCTTCACTAGCAACAGGGAACTACTAAAATGGTGTGGGAAGGGATAGCAGGAATAGCAAATGAGGGCAAGGGCTGCTTGATCCAGGGATGGGGAGTGAACCATGGGAGATGCCACCTGCTGGCTGAGCCCCCATCACTGGGCAGAGGGTTGGGCTGTGGCGGGCACATTCAGGGCGTCAGCGGTGGAGACAAGCAACGGGGTGGGCTGTGTGGGGCAGCCTCGGGTGGCCGAGCGCCTCCCTGGAGGCTGAGCACCCCGAGCCCTCGCACGTTTGAAGAGGCCCAGTCAGGGTCATGTCTTTTCTGGAGGCTGCCCTGAGACCCTCCAGCTGGAAGTGGCCTGTCCCCCTGGAGTTCCCCGAACACTGTCTCCATCCCTTGCCAGGGGCTGTATTTAGAGCCGGATAAACTCGGCTCATGTCCCGGGTCTGCCTTCACCTGGCGAAGTCCCTCAACCTCTCTTAGCCCGTTTCCTAGATGAAAGTGGGGACTTGCATTGGTGACAGGGAGGATTCAGTGAGATGAGAACCCCTCACAGCACCCTGTGGTCGGCAGGAAGTTGCCAGGGGCCTGAAGCTCGCTTCTCTCCTGACTGGAACCCGGGCTTCTTTCCCTTCACCAAGCCCCCTCCCAGTGGGTGATCAGGAAGTTCTCACACTCAGTGGTGAGGGCTCAGGGAGGTAGGAGATCCCGGCCATAGGAGAGGGGTAGGGTCTCAGAGGGAAAGCCCAGGTCGGGGTGGGTATTTGTGGACCCAGCTGACAGTGCACAACCCTTTGTAACCAGAAAGTTCCCACCACAAACACATGGCCCTGCTAACTTTTGCAGAGGACACCCAGTTCTGTCCCCTCCACAGCCAGCCTGAGTGGACAGGAACCAAGCAGAACTGTGCAGGGACCTTGGTGGGTGTCCAGGCTCCTCGTGAGCACCATTTCCAAGCATCACAGGTGCTGTCCTTGCCACTGCAGGGGAGCCCAACACCTGATCCAACTAGGAATAAGACCCCTTGGGTCACAGTCTAGGACCGTGCCCTTCCCCAGAAAGCCCATTGTCCTAGAGCCTAGTGAGGGTCCTGGGCTGTAGCACAGAGTAAGGTGGAAGGGTTGAGGGTGACCAGGAAGACCTCAACCCAGGAGGACCAGCCTACACCGACCTCAGACCTCCACAGAGCTGCTCAGCAGTTTCTCTAAGAATTAGTCAGGCATGTCATTCTCCACTCAGAAAGTTCCAACTGAACTTAGACTAAAATCCAAACTCCTCCTCTGCCCTACAGAACCTTCAGCATGTGACCACTACCTGCTCTCTTTTCTTTTTCTTTTTTTTTTTTTTTTTCCTTTTTTGTCTTTTTTCATGACTGGCAACGGACCGCAACCCTCAGTGTCGCGCCTGTACCGGACCGGGACCAGCAACGGGATCACAACCCTTGGTGTTGCTCCCGCGCCTCGCTCAGCCAGTGAGCGGCCGCCGGTCTGTACGTGGGATCCGAACCCTCGGCGGGAGCGCCGAAGCACTCCCAAGCAGCGCACTGTAGCAGTGCGCCACCGCCGGCCCTACCTGCTCTCTTTTCTGTCCTCACCTCTCACCTCGCTCCCTTGCACTCACATCCAATCACTCTGCTCTGCCTTCCCTTCTATTTCTGTAGATGTGCCCAGCTGGTTCCTGCCTCAGGGCCTTTGTACTTGCCCTTTCTTTTGACCAAAATGCAACCCCCTAAGCCCAGATCGTACATGAATGCCTCCCTCTAATCTTTCTGTCTTTGCTCAGATTTTTCTTCTCAAGATGCCTTCTCTCCCACTCTAATATTGCATTTCCCCCTCAAGGCAGCTGCTTTCTGTCCCCTCACCATGTTTAATTATATTCACTGCGCCTCTCACTATTTGAATTTTTCATTTTTGTTGTCTATCTTCCCACTTGGAATACAAGTTCTATGAGGCCAGGACTGTTTTTCATTCATTTCTGTGTTCTCTGGGCCCTAGTACAGTAAGTAAAGACTATTTGCTGAATGAATGAATGAATGAATGAATGAATGAATGAATGAATGAAAAGAAGGCAGTCTCTCCCCGCTCCACCTCCCCACACACTTGCTGTTCTTTGTCTCATTGTGGACACCAGGATTTCTTTCTCTCAGTTGCAAACACAGCACCTGAGGGACTTTAATCCACCTGCTTCTCCAAACATAACCCACTAGAAATTTTTGCAGCACACCTAGACCTGCACTTTCATTTTCTTCCCCATCCTCTGCCCCCTCAGGATCAGCCCCCTGGCAGGGCATCTGAGTGACCTAGATGGACCCAGAGTTTGCTCAAGTGCCAACCTTTCACCCTGCTGATCCTATGATGACCCCCAATGGCTTCCATTCTTGCAGAACAGCAGTGAAGGCTTAAGTGTCAATGATGCTGCCCATTCATGATCAGGATGAACCGGGCAAAGGCACAACTCCAAGTCAGTTCTGTGAGGAATTACTCAGCGCCTACTGTATGCCAGCTGCTGGAGATCCCCCAGGGAGAGCTCTCGCTGGGTACAAAGCTTCCAAGAATGAGCTGGGGACAGGGAACACTCACTGTTGGGGATTGCTGATAACAAACCACCGACACAGCTGCTGTATTCTCACATTAATCTGCCTCTTGGGAGGCTTGAACTGACACGTTTCACTGGAGGTAGCCAGGAAGCTTGTGAAACCAGGCAGTCCTCAAACACAGAGAGGTATAAAAGCCTGCTCGCCCCTAAGGCCACCCAGCCTCTTACAAAGATGGAGGTTGTGAGAAGTCTCCTTCCTTTGGCCCTTTTGATCGCAATATGCTTTGTAGAGTTTAATTCGACTGAGGATGTAGGTAAGAAAATTAAATTCGATTTTTTAAGAAAACAGGGAAGATTTCCTTTCAAGAGGCCTCTTCCAAAAATTTTGAAAGTTTTTATATCTGTTGTTGGCCCCATTACAGGGAAAATTTTACTGTAATGTTCTTGGTGGGATTTTGAATTAGTACTAGTTTTATCCAGGCTCATATGACAATGCACATAAAAATATAAAAAGCATACAGAATTTTACCAGGTAATTATACTACTAAGAATTTATCTTTAGGAAATAATCATAAAAGTGCATAAGGATATATGTACAAGTATGTGAATTTGCATGACTGTCAAAACATGTTTTCATCATTTATTTTGTTATAGTAAATGCATGCAAAGGAACACTTCTTGGCAACTTTCAAAAAAATGACACCGATCTATAAGCAAGACGTCCATGATATACTTTAAGAGAAAAAACAATCTGAAATTTGTGAATATTTGACGTAATATATGACGTTCATGTTTAAAACTTATACATTTGAGCATTTAAAAAATCTGGAAATAGAAGAGAAGAGGGAAGAAAAGGTGTGGAAGTATTTACAGAAAGTTTTTAATGATGATTGTTTCTGGGTGGATGGATTTATGTCATGGTACTTTTTTCTTTGTCTTTGCTTTGTGATTTTTTTACTAATAAACATAATAATTATTGTTAGGGGAAAAATAAAAGACTATTGTTGTAGGGACACTAGTACTCATCACTCACAGATAAAACAAAAAGAAAAGCATTGTTTCTATGTAAGTGGAGTTTTTGACCATTAGGTTTTATTACAAATTTGATTTTTTTGTTCACGTTCAATTATTTCCCCTCCTCCTCCTCCTTTTCTTCCTCCTGTGATAACAGCTTTATTGAGATATAATTTATATACCATAGAATCCACCCTTTTAAAGCAAACAATTTAGTATTTTTTAGTATATACACAGAATTGTGCAACTATCACCACTAATTCTAGAACATTTTCATCATCCCAAAAAGAAACTCTGTACCCATTTGCAGTTACTTTCCATTTCCCCCAGTGTCCCCACCTAAGGAAACCACTAATCCACTTTCCATCCCTACAGATTTATGTATTCTGAACATTTAATATAAAGGAAATCATGCAAAATGTGGTCTTTCACTTAGCATACTGTGTTTTCAAGGTTCATCTATTTTGTAACTTGTGTTAGTACTTCATTCCTTTTTATTGCTGAGTAATGTTTTATTGTATGGATATACTAAATTTTATTTATTCATTCACCAGTTGAGGAACATTGGACCTGTTATGACTAATGTTGCTGTGAACATTAGTGTACAAGGTTTTATGTGGACATATGTTTTCATTTCTTTGGGGCATATGCTTAAGGGTAGAACTGCTGGGTTATGGTAATTCTGTGCTTGATCTTTTGAGGAGCTTTTAGACTGTTTTTCACAGCACCTGCACCACTTACAATCTATGAACTGTGTATAAAGATTTCAGTTTCTCTACATCCTTGGCCACACTTGTTATTTTCTGGTTTTGAGTCTAGCCATCCTAGTGGGTATGGATTGGTATCTCATTCTGGTATTGATTTGCATTTCCCTGATGACTAATGATGCTGAGTATCTCTTCATGTGTTTATTGCCTATTTATAGATCTTTGAAAAAATGTTGATGCTGGTCCTTTGTCCTTTTTTAATTGGGGTGTCTTTTAATTATTGGATTGTGAGAATTCTTTAAACATTCTAGATATAAAGCTTCTTTTTAAAACTTTCTTCAGACTCTAATATTCTCTTTTATAAACCATATGTAGAGAGATAATAATACTTTTTCCACAAGGGTTCCAAGAAGGAGAAATCACTTGCTTGTGGCTTACTTTGGAGTAAGTGGAATGACATTCATGATTAGCTGCATGCTTGTGAGAAGTATATTCCCAGTCACTGGGAAAGAGGGCAGGGGCTGCTGACTCTTCTCAGTGACAGCTACTGTGATCTCTACCAGGCAATTCAAGCTGCAAGGCCAGTCTGGGAGGGGCCAATATGGGAGAGACCCACAATGCCATGATCTTGCAGCTCAATCCCAGTGAGAACTGCACCTGGACAATAGAAAGACCAGAAAATAAAAGCACCAGAATCATCTTTTCCCATATCCAGTAAGTAGATGCTTCAGTTTCCCAACAAGGGTAGTTGAGCTCTCTGGCCACATTGGGGCAGGGGCGGGGTGGTGGGGGGCACGTGGAGGAGAGTGGTTTGGTCTCTATGGTAAGAATTCACCTGCTGCTATAGGTGGTAATAATCAGTCTCCGCAACCTCTATCTCCACAACCACCGTGATCGTGATGATGATAATGATAAATTACAGTGATGGTGCTGGTGAAGATGATGGTGATGATGGTGGTGATAATGATGATAATAATGATGATGATGGTGAACGATGATGATGGTGATGGCAATGGCTGATAGTCACTGATGATGACTGAGTGCCCAACACTGGCTCACAGAGGTCCTGCCAGGCCAGTGCTACTATTACAGACAGAGCGAGGTTGAGAACTTGTCTGAGGTCATGCAGCTAGTGAGTGGAATGACTAGGGTTGGTACCCAGCAAGTCTAGTTCCAGATTCTGGGCCTTAAAACACTAAACTTGTGGTTCCAAACTTTACCATGCTTTAGAATCAGCAGGGGAGCTTTCAAAAACCCAGATTCTTAAGCTGTACCCCATGTAGTTAGATCACAATCCCTGAGAGTAGGACCCAGGCATCAGTTTTTTTTTATTTTAAACTTTTTATTTTGAAATAAACATACATTCACACATATTTTTTACAAGTGCCCAGGCAATCACAGTGTGAGGTGAAGCTGAGAACACAGCTCTGCCCTGTAGAGATCCTCTCAGCACTTCATGAGATCTGCCCCACTTGATCCTCACAACAACCCTCTGGGGTAGATGCAATCTAATCACCATGCAGTGATAAGAAAGCCCAGAGAAGTCGCCGAAGAGGTCCAAGATCACATAGTAATAAAAGTGGGAGAGGAACTGAATCTAAGCAGCCTGGCTCCAGAGCCCATATTCTTACCCTACTCTAGTGATTCTCAAACTTGATCATACAGCAGAAGCACATGGAGGGCTTGTTCAAGCACAACTGCTTGGCCCCAGAGTCTCTACTATCTCATTTAGATGGAGTGGGTGGGACCTGGAAATTTGCATAGGTAACAAATTTCCAGGTGATGCTGACACTGCTGGTATCAGATACCACACTTTGAGAACCATGACTGTATACCACTGAAGTTGGAATTGGCTTCCTTTTATCCCTCAAAGAAACAAAATAGAAGGATGCTTTTTAAATTTTGTGGAATGGTATTTTTTTTTTTTGGAATGGTATGTTATTATGAGACATATACACTATTCTTTTTTTCTTAGTCTTTTAAGAAAATTTTAATTAACATCTAATAAGTGTACATATTTATGGGGTACAATGTGATGCTTTGATACATGTATACATTGTGTAATGATCAAATGAGAGTAATTAGCATATCGTCACCTCAAACGTTTTTCTTTGTGGTGGGAAGATACAAAATCCTCTCTTCTAGCTATTTTGAGATATACATACCTTGCTGTTGACTATGGTTACCCAACTGTGCAATAGGACATCAGAACTATTCTTCCTTTTTAATTATGACTTTGTATCCATTGATCCTCCTCTCTCCATCCCTCCCTCCCCCACCCCCTCCTCAGTCTCTGGTGACCACTGTTCTATTCACTACTTCCATGAGATCAACTTTTTCAGATTTGCATATGAGTGAAAACATGTGGTATTTGTCTTTTTGCATCTGGTTTATTTCACATATACACTATTCTTGCTATTTAAGGAGAGAGGGGAAGAGAAAACTGAGATTAAGAAAGGTTGAATCACTTGTGCAAAGTTACGTAGCAGGTAAGTGACTAAGGTGAAAGGCGAATTCAGATTTCTCTACCTTGTGTTTTTTCTTTTAATCATTATGGACATATGTCCTCTGAGGGAATTTGTAGAGACAGTGTCAAAATGGGCAGAAAACAAAAATCCCAGCATGCCCTGTCCAGTTCAGGGCATGGGACTATCCCTCAGAATGAGGAAGTGGTGATGCGGGAAAAGGAAGGGGCAACTAGGGAGATGCTGATGTTTGCTTTAGTTTGGGAGAGTATGTGGCCGTGGAGGAAGAAGAGTTGCTTCACCTTTCAGTAGCCTCGGATATCAAAAGTCAATGGGGATCAATTCTAAATAAGAAGATTCTATGCAAAGAGTCACATGGACATGGGGAACAGGAGAGATGGAAATAGGTGGAGGGAAAGGAGTCCTGGATTCTGGCCCATCTTCATCATTCCATTTACTTGATATAAGATGTAGGTAAAGCAGGTCACCTCTCTGAACCCATTAAGGTTGATAGTGTGTGGTTTGATGTTGAAGTTGGTGAGTGGCGATTGGTCTTGGAGAGGTTTAAATGAAAACAGTTGTGCCACTGATTTGTACATTGCCATGCCAATGTGAGCAGTTGACACTGCCCTGCAAAACCCTCTTTGCTGGTGGCTTTTCTCCAGCTACTGGTATGTTCTGTCCACAGGCTGGATCCAGACGGAAGC